AAAGCCAAGACTGTGGAGTGTTTTGGGAAGTTGGTAAAAAATTAATTTTTTTACTTTTTTAGTCTATTTTGTCTTTTTGTGGGTAAAAAAGTGAGAGGCGATGTAATCCAAAATGGATAAAAAAATTAAAAGCTAGCTTTTTTTGTGCTTCCCAAAAGACCCCTATGTATTTTATCCAAGACCAACAAACAATTTTAGTATTTATTTATAGTGATAGTAGGCTTACACAATGTTTTAGGGGCCGTGAAAATGGGCTTTCCATTGCCTCTCGGTATTATTTTTAGCCCGAACCTTGAAACACCAGGATGGGCTGCTCTTTAGCCCATTTAATGAGAGAAACATAAGAATAAATTATAAATACATATTGTCATTTTGTGATTTGAAAAATTATAAATAACTTATTATTATTATTTTTTATTTAACATAATTAAATAAAAAAATAAAATTCATAATTATTCTTCCATATAATAATAAAAATACCTAAATTATTAATTAAAACGTATTTCTAATATCATTTAAAACTGTTAGTTGACTTTATGGTTTATTAATAAAAGTGATGTGTTTTTATGAAATTAAAAATCTCAAGGGGTAAAATGTAATTTCCATAACCACTAGTGGCAATTCATATTTTAATCAAATCTCGGTGAGTGTATTTGTAATTTACCCTAAAAATAAATAATGGTATTTTTTTTTTTAGTCGAATCTATTTTCTCTTATTCAATAACAAAAAATAAATAAATAATCATGATAAGTATATCCTATAAAAAAAAATGAAATCAAAAAATCTTAAAAAATAGGGCACTTGGTTGAGAAATCCAATTTCGAATTTTCTTGGTCTAAAGATCCAAATCTGTTTTTCTTTGCCCACAAGAACAAGCATATGACCGTCCAAACCCTAAACATTCACGCTTCTCTCTCTCTCCTTCGCCTTATACATGACAACTCCAACGTTGACTCCGTCCCCTTAGTCACTACCGCCACCACTTTCATCACCATTTCCACCTCCAGTCTCATTGTCGCCGTGCACCTCTTTTTTTTTCTTTCTCTCTCTCTCTCTCTCTCTCTCTATCTCATGCCATCGATCTTCATTTTCTCTCGCTCCGGCCATGAATCCCACCGTCGTCGCCATGACTCCATCGTCAATCACGGCCATGGCTTGCGCACTAAAATCTTTGGCTTCGGATTGTCGTTGTCGTTGAGAATTAGCCCTCCTCCGCATCATTGGATTCCTCCGTGATCGGAGCTACCTGATCTAATGGATTTGGACTCCGCCACCCTCGGATCTAGACTCCTCCACGTGGAAACTTCCTCTCAATTTTTTCTTCTTCATCTTCTTTTTTTAGTTCTCCTACGCAGGTAACACACACACACACACACATATATATATATACTAGTGGGTGGCACACACGATGTGTGTGCAATTCAAATAAGTAGGAATAAAAAAAATAATAATGAAATTAATATTATAATGTGTACTTAGCTTAAGTGGTATGAGTCCTCGTACTTAAACCCATGGTCATGGGTTCAAGCCTTGCCCATCTCTTTGTTTAACTTTTTTTTAAAAAATAAAAAATACTGCCACATGGCATGAGGAGAGTAAAGCTTCAGGACACCAAAATTTCTGTTCACTTTATAATAGTATAGATAGATATATATACACGCAAGAAAATGTGTTTATTTATACACATTTTCTTATTTATTTCTCTCTTCATATATAAATGTGTTTATTTATACATATATTTATCCATATGTATGTATAGGTATATATATGGCTTTTGGAAACAGTGACAACATCGATGAGTTCAAACTAAGACATTATTAAAAGAGAATTAGAGAGTGATGAAAAGAGGAGAGTCGAAATTAACTAAAGTAAAGCAGTATTCACTGATCTGGAGGAGGAATTGCACGAGTGGTAGATTCACAGATCGTCTCTCTAGGGCTTCTGAAGAAGAGCAAGTACTTGATTTCTATTTATCAATAAAGTTTGGGAAGATTCAAAAAAGTCAAAAAGCCAAAAAGTTACTCAAAAAGCTAAAAAGTTAATACTATTTACCAAAAGTCAACAATTACGGCTGCACAACTCCCAATTCAAATTTTTCTCTACAAATCAATTTTTACAATTTTTTATTACACATTTTTCAATAAAAAGTCAAAAAGTTAAGAGAGTGATGAAAAGAGGAGAGTCGAAATTAACTAAAGTAAAGCAGTATTCACTGATCTGGAGGTGGAATTGCACGAGTGGTAGATTCACAGATCGTCTCTCTAGGGCTTCTGAAGAAGAGCAAGTACTTGATTTCTATTTATCAATAAATAATAAGAAAGAATTATTATTGTTTTATTTATTATTTTTTTTGAGTATTTTAACTGTTTAATTAATTTTTTGCACTCAATGCTTCACCAATTCTTTTATCAAATTCAAATATTGATCCATTTGTATCCATAGGTAAACTATTTGATGATTTGTATTTGGACAAATGAAAATTTGACGACGATGATGATGAAATAGATGTATATGATTTTTATCTGTACAAACCAAATTTTTGCAACAAAAATTTGTATAGATAAAAGGTTGACTCTGATTTGTCCAAATTCAACAATGATTCATCCCACTAAAAACATCACTACTAATAGTACTAATGCATTAAAAAAGTAAAAAAAAAAAAAATACAACTCCAAGATCAAAACATCACATCATTAATAGCGGAACCCACTGCCACCTAATTAGTGGGAGCACTAATTAGTGCTCCCAAGCATTTTTCGTCCAAATTAGATAGAGATCTCTGGAGAAACAGATAAGGAAAAAAATGAAATTAAATAGATAAAAAATAGAACATATAGGAAAAATAAATTATAAAAATTCAAAGATAAAAAAATATTTGAACATATAGACAAATAATTGAATAGATAAGAAAAATTTTGAACAGATATTTTTTTTGAACATATAGTTAACAAAAGTCAACAAATTAAAAAAGCCAACAAAGATAAAATTAGAAACAAAATATTATTCAAAATCAGTAAAAAATTTCACCAAATTATTTCATGAAAAGTGAACTTATCACTAATAAAAAATATTTACTGAACCTATTGCCTTAGACACTTTCTAAATTGAATTTATCACCAATTTTCTCTGAAAAATAATACAAACAAGACAAATATAAGTTGATTTTATATATAGGATAGTATTTAAAAACAAAAGTTGTTTAAATTTTAAATTGTAAAATAAAGTATAAATAAGTCAAAATTTCCCAAACTGAAAAAAATAAATATAAAAGGGTAAATTATAAATACACCATTGAGTTTTGTTTAAAATACGAATTGGCCCATGTGGTTTGGAAAATTACAAAGACCTCATTATAAAAAAAAATTATTTAACAGAATTAATTAAAAAAAATAGAATTTATAAATGTTCACCTATACAATAATAAAATTCTCTAAATTATTAATTGAAATAAAATTTAATATTATTAGAAACTGTTAATTAACTTGATAATTTATTAATAAAATGATCTATTTATTATGAAATTAAAAATCTTACGAAACATAATGTCATTTCTAGAACCATAAAGAATAATTTGTAATTTAAGTAAGGCCTAGTTTGGAAAGATTAAATAAGTGCACTTTTTGACTTTTTTTGTATTATGTGTAGAAAAAGTAGAGAGGAGATGTTGATTGATGTGACCTAAAAAAGATAAAAAGATGAAATAAGTGCACTTTTTTATTATTAATTGAAATAAAATTTAATATTATTAAAAACTGTTAATTAACTTGATAATTTATTAATAAAATGATCTATTTATTATGAAATTAAAAATCTTACGAAACATAATGTAATTTCTAAAACCATAAAGAATAATTTGTAATTTAAGTAAATCTCAAGAGATGTGTTTGTAATTTATCCAAATAAAAAACACAAGCCAAAATCAAAATTCAAATTTCAAATAAAAAGTAAAGAAATAGGCCAACAGCAATTGTGGATAAGTGGGAGAAGCTATTGGTTGGTCTTGCATATCGTCGCTTAATAATATTGTGATTAATAAAAAGAATAAAATTTATTAAATAATTAACAAACATAAAAAATTATAATAAATTATGATTAATGAGAGTATAATTACGTGTCCCGCACCAGCCAATAATTTCAATAATTTTTCTTTAAAGCGGAGACACGTGAGGATTGAGTCGGCTAGACGACCAGACCTAACCCATCGATGCGCAAATTAGCATACGTTTCGTAAAATAACGAGGCGGGAGCGCAATTTAGTAACAATTCACTAAAAATTCATATACAGGCGGGCGTCTCATTTTAGCCCCAAACTAGTCCGCCCAGTATAAGACCGACACAACCCCCCCCTGGCATTCTTTCCCCAAACTACCCCCCATCACAACATTCTTTCTCTCTCTTTCTTCTCTCTCATTTCTCTTCTTTCTTTCTCATCTCCAGTCATGGAGAATCAGAAGCGCCGTGAACTTCCAACAAGCTCTGCGAGGAAAAACTTGAAGAGAAAGCTAGATGAAGATTTCGAACGAGATCGCAAGATCGCTACTCTCTCCCCTCACGACGCTAATCAAGATCTCATTCTCGATGTTCGCACGCAGTTGGAAATCCTAGACTCCACTTTCTCGTCGATCGATGCAGATCGCGCCGCTGCCAAGCTCGCAATTCACGTTCTCTCTGAATTCGCCAAGAACGGTATGTATTCACGAATTTCTTGAATTTATTGGTGATCCAGGACTTTGATCTTTGGTGATTTGTGTGTTTTCAGAGGAAATTGTGAATGTAATTGTTGATTGCGGAGCAGTTTCAGCTCTGGTCAGGCATCTCCAGGCTCCGCCATCTTCGAGAGAAGGCGACACTGATTCGAAGCCTCACGAACACGAAGTCGAGAAAGGAAGCGCTTTCACGCTTGGACTTCTCGCTGTAAAAGTAATTATACATGCGATCTTATTTTTATTACTACGATTGATCAATTTGATGTTTAATTTATTTTCTCTTTGTCTTAGTTGTTTGTGATCTATACAGTATGTTATTGTCTTTTCTTTTTCTTTTTTAATTTTTTTTTTATTCTACTAATGAAATTCTCAAATCCCTCCCTTCTTTGGGGGCTTGCACAACTTCTTAAGGTGTTTTGATCTATAGCAGTCTAGTGGTAAAGTGAGCATATTCTAAGGATAAGGGTGTTGAGATGTAATAATTTTTTCATATACAATTTCTGTGATGACTTCTTGTTCGCCTTCTGCCACTCCCTGTTTTTGTTACACTGTTAAGCATGCTGCCAAGAGTGATATCAAAAAAATTTCTTGAGGGTGTCAGCAGATGAATAAATATGTAATTATCGGATTTTGATTGTGTTACAATGAAACTCTTGTCGTAGTTAATCCTTTATTTGATCTTTAGTTTGGATATGTTTATAAAAATATTATATTGTTACTTTTGCATTAATTCAATATTTCTATTAATAGATGAGTATGTGTTTATAGAAAATAATCAATTACTGTTGCAATAATTTTGACATTTCTACTTATGGACTAGTAGCATTATCAATTGACAGAGGTTGGGACATTTAACTCATTAATGTTGTTTTGAGTGTTCTTTCTAGTATTCAGTTTCTTTATTTTAAGGTATGTTAGTTGCATTGTCTGACTGTTTTTGAACTGAAATGATGTTTGCGAATTCTCTCGCGATGTGTTGTCATGCCATCTCTAAATTGCTCGAAGCACCTCCTCAACACAACCAAGGGGTCTCTGTTTGAGTGCATCTCACCTTCTCCACTCATGATTGCTACTCAATATATTTTTGGCTCAGTCAAATCAGTCTCCATCCAAGTGTGCCCCGTTCCAAGATTAGTACACCTCTTTAGCACCTGCTCAGCTTGCCTAGATAGTTCCAATTGGGTGGTGCCCGGTCTCTGAAAGGGCGTTAGCATCTCCATGATCATCTTGGTTGGGAGCAGGGCCTAAGAATCTCACCTGGGATCGTGGGAAGACTTGAGGCTTAGAGACTTATCGTGAAAGAATTGTGACAACTTAATTCCTTACTATGGTGAGAATGTTTAGTAGATGTTAGATGACGGAGATGCCTTGGGCATCTACCTTAAACTCTCTCCTGGTGAAGGTCATTCTTTTTCAATTCATGGAATGTTTCTCTCTGACTTTTCATTCATACCTAACTAGAAAATAATGCTCAATAGATTCATTATTATTATGCTTGTAAGATTTTGGCTCACTGAATAGGTACTTCTGTTTTTGGAAGCTAATTAATTAACTGTAATAAATGTTCATTGCTATATGATTTACCCGGGGAAAAAAAGGGTTCACAGTTATCTGTTTATGTTTTATGCTGTGGCAGTTTCCATTTGAATGGTTGATAAATGTCTTACTGACATTTTTGTGGGTAGGGAAGTGTTACATATTTGAGTTAAGTTTGCAAGTTTTTTTTAATTAAGTATTTGAATGCCACCATTTGGTTCCTAGTTTGAAGGTTTAAATGAATGGTGCTAAAGTATGTATTAGACTACATGTTACCTGTGCCTACGACACTCCCCACTGAAACCCATCCATATCTAATTGTTCCAGAGCTTTCTTCCCATGGTCCATGTGTCTCCCTTCAGCAAGGACAAACTTTTCTCCATCCTCTCACTCTAAAAACATCACTTTCCCATTGTGTAATGCCTTCTTCTGTAAGCCATTGAACATTCTTCTTGGGATACTGATTAGAGCTCCTAATATTAATGAATAATGTGCATCCTGATGTGTTTCAACCAATTCAATCTGTAATTCATGTCAAGTTGACAAAATGACAGCAGAACAAGTTCTCTTTGGTGTAGTTATTTTCAAACTACTGCAGTTATTGTGTGGTTCTCCCACTTGGAGGTGGTTGGGTTGGACTTGTCTTTTAGGCAGTTCTTTGTGATAGCAATTGTACATTGGGCTTCTTTATTTTCTCCTGTACTGCTTGTTTACATTGCTTTCAGCACAGAACATTTGTAGTTCTATATTCTGATAACTTACTAGCAAATTTGAAGAAGCACTATAAATGGTAAAATTATGTACCATGCTTTCGGAAAGTTTGATTGTCCTTCCTTTTTCTCATTCTAAAGTGGAGTTTATCCTTATTTAATAAGATAAAATATGTAGTGGTGTAGATCAACTATATTTCAAGGGGAGATCTGGATATTTTGTTGTAGATGCTACTTCCTCCCGTCACGGGATATGTTTCCTCTCTATGGGTGTTTGTTTCATTTCAGTCCAGAGGTTCTTGTCACTATGCTTTCTGTTCTCATATGTTGTCTGTTCTGCCTTCTGTTTTGTCATACAGCCTGAACATCAACAACTCATAGTTGATGCTGGAGCTCTGCCTCATCTTGTGGACCTGTTGAAGAGGCATAGGTATGGTAAAAACTCTAAGGCGGTCAATGGTGTTATTCGAAGAGCAGCCGATGCAATCACCAACCTTGCTCATGAGAACAGCAGCATTAAAACCCATGTTAGGTTTGTTTATTTGCATGATTTTCAGTTAAATATCTAGTATTATACCATCTTTGTGACATTTTTGGTTGCACATCCAGGATTGAAGGTGGAATCCCGCCCCTAGTTGAATTGCTAGAGTTTATTGACTCAAAAGTTCAGAGAGCAGCAGCCGGAGCCCTACGAACCCTTGCCTTTAAAAATGATGAGAACAAAAATCAGGTTGACTATTTTCTCTGATTCACCAAATTCATTTGAGGATCTAAATAAAATTTTAATTTATTATGCTGTTTGTGTTTTGAAATTATAAATCTGCAGATTGTGGAATGCAATGCTCTACCTACTCTTATTCTAATGCTTCGGTCTGAGGATGCTGCCATACATTATGAAGCGGTTGGCTCTAATTTTAATCTATATTATTCAATCTTGAACTTTACATACATTTGGGACATTTTTTTTATTACTTCATATTGCCGGAACCCAGAATCACTAATTGACCTCTGAATTTTTCTGTCAGGTTGGTGTGATTGGGAATCTCGTGCATTCATCCCCAAATATTAAGAGAGAAGTTCTGCTTGCTGGAGCTTTACAACCTGTTATCAGTTTACTCAGGTACTAATCTTTCACTCAATTAGACTGTGTTGAATCATTTTTGTTTCATTGACTGTATGTTTTTGTTAGTTGGTTGTATTTTATCCTGAACTTTCTTTGCAGAATTGGAGTTTCAACTAGTTTTCTTGCCCTCTCCTACCTTTCCCTCAATTTTTTGATCTTATGAATTTTATGATTTCAATTACAGTTCCTGCTGTTCAGAGAGCCAAAGGGAAGCAGCTTTGCTACTAGGGCAATTTGCTGCTACTGATTCAGACTGCAAGGTGGAATGAATTATACTTTTCTAAAGTTTAAAATAGAATAGTAAATTTTTTTAACTTGCCCCATTCCATTGTTATACATTCCCTCTTATTATTTTAAATATGATTTTATGTAGGTGCACATTGTTCAGAGAGGTGCTGTCCAACCATTAATTGAGATGCTTCAGTCCCCAGACGCACAGCTGAGGGAAATGTCAGCATTTGCGTTGGGGAGGTTGGCACAGGTTTTTATCTATAATTGTCTCATGGTTTGCGTATTTCATATATATTTAATTTGTAAGAAAGCATGGCTATAAAACTTCCCTGTGTTCAGCTGAAGTGTAGGGTGTTATTTTCATTGAATAAGGTTTCACTGTAGTTTGATCTTTCTCGTTTTTGGATAAGTAATTTTCCTATTAGGAAAAGGAGAAGAATAACCAGGAATGGTGAGACATCTGTTAAGAGTTAGAGAACCATAAAGTGCAATTCCTATACCATTTTGTTACCAAGTTTGTCCAATCACTTTTTGGTGTCTTAATCTACATGCTTTCTTTTTCAAAGATATAAACTGCAGTGCAATGTTACCCATGATTTTCTATTTAGCTATGCAAAATATTGTAGAAACATTTAAGAACAACTTTATCTTTAAGTTTTAGTCTCTTTGTGTGTGTGCGTGTATGTGTGAATGTGTATTCTATCTAAGGCTAACACTGCATTTTTTGGTGGTATAAATTCCGTTACCTTTTGCCTTCATCATTGAAGTCATTGGACAAAATGCCTTAGTGCAGTGGTTTTAATTTTTTTTTTTTTTTTTTTGTTGTTAAAGCTTTTATTGGGAAGATAGGTTGTCATTTTTACTGAAAGGAACTTAAAGATTGAGTTACTGTTGCTCTATGAGAAATCTTACTGCTTCATACCCAACTTTCCCTTGCCTAACACTTAGTAATGTTGGAGAAATGTGTTTTCCTGGTTTTGCTGAGATGATCTCACTTTTAGGATACTCACAACCAAGCTGGGATTGCCCATAGTGGTGGTATAGAGCCCTTGCTAAAGCTTCTTGATTCAAAAAATGGATCTCTGCAACACAATGCTGCCTTTGCTCTTTATGGCCTTGCAGATAATGAGGTAGAGTTTTATTTGTATTGTTGCAAATTTAGCATTTTGGCTCCATAATTTTAGTTATGTGACAACTTATGAAACTTCCTTTTGTAGGACAATGTTGCAGATCTTATAAGGTTTGGAGGCATTCAGAGGCTTCAGGATGGAGAATTCATTGTCCAAGTATTTATCTAATTTAATTTTCTCTTTATTTTTTTACTTGAAAAGCCATTTAAGTTTTTATAAGTACTTATTTCATTAATTTTACAAAGTAAATTATTATCTATTCTTCTGTTTACTTTTCTTCTATGAAGCACATGCACGAGTATTCCAAAAATGGTGTTGTACGAGTACCGGGTGCTTATCGGGTGTGCATACCAATACGGTAGTACGCGTACTAGATATGCTGAATACATGCCGAGTACGGCAAATATATTTGGGTACGTTGTGGGTACGGCACTAGTACATCAAGGTGTTCTTTTTTTTTTTTTTTTCCAACTATTAGAATTTGTTGTAGTCTTTATTATTTTTCTTTCAATTTTGAAAATATCAAGCAATTTATTTCCAACACCATTTACCCATGAGTCATAATTTTGCTCTATTTCACATCCTGTTTTAAACAATCAAAAAAAAAAAAATTATATAACTTTTTAGACAAGTTCTCTTTTTCGTTTTGATATTGAAATTTTGATTTGTATGTTGGATGTTTAGTTATAAATTAAAAAAAAAAAATTGGCGTACTCCACTTGTATCCATACCCTAACCCTACTTTTTAAAGAATTTGCTATATCGGCGTACCTGTACCTGCACCCGCACCCGCTCCGGCTCCCGCACCCGTGCTTCATAGCTTTTCTTCCACCATTATTTGGAGGCCTAACTCCCACAATATAAATTTGATGATTTACTTGCAGCCAACTAGGGATTGTGTAGCCAAGACTCTCAAAAGATTAGAGGAGAAGATCCATGGACGAGTGAGTTTCCTTTATTTATTTACTTTTGTATTGTTGTTTTGCTTGTTGATCCTTCTTGTCACTTTTTTCTTCTATTTCTCTGCATAGGCATATTGACAAAGAAGTAATTAGACTCTTCATTTCCTCTCTCCTGTTCTTTGTTCTTTTTTTACCATTTGCCCAGATCAAACATGGCGAAAGACTTGGTATCATTTTTTGAAGTTCATAGTAAAGAAAGACTCTACACTAATTTCAGCATTGCATGTCTGCTCTTTATGCTTTGGCCTATCTGAAAACTAAAAGAATTAATTAATGGATTATGTGAAGTGTGTTGCAATTTTATTATTAAAAGTTTATTTGTAAGGTAAGGAGATAATAGTGTAAATACATGAGAAACAATGAAATGATATCTTGCTTTTAATACATTATCATCTTACTTATTTGGGAATACATCAGAGAGATTTTGCTCAGTAGGTGCTGTGTGTTTGCATGCCTATATACATAGAGAAAATACATAACCATTTTCAACAACTTTTGGCAGATGCATTTATTATTTAGCTTTTAGAACTCCAAGAAGGGACTACTATTGATATGAGAATATCAACAAATAATTGTTTTACCATTTAATTACATCATTTTGTGCTTTCTCTTGACAGATATTGAGCTATTTGTTGTACTTGATGCGGGTTGCAGAAAAGGTTATTCAAAGTAGAATTGCTTTGGCTCTTGCACATCTTTGTTTGCCTGATGATCAGAAGGCTATTTTTATTGACAATAATGGTAAAAGCCATCTGTGATCGTTTAGTTTAGTGTTATTCATTCACTTTAGCAATCATTCATATGGGATTCTGAAAATTCACCATCTACATGTACTTTATGTTCTCACAGGACTGGAGTTGCTTTTAGAGCTTCTTGAATCAACAACCATGAAGCACCAACGAGATGGCTCTATGGCTTTATACAAGTTGGCTACCAAAGTCAATTCCGTCTCTCCTGTGGATGCAGCTCCCCCATCACCAACCCCACAGGTGTGTTGTGGTTTTTAGTAGTTTTACCACAAGTGTCCTATGTTGGATTAGTTATTGCTTAATTTATTATTTACACCAAAGAGTTGTGAATTTTATCTTGCAAGTACTGATGGTTTCTTTTCATTGACTGGTTTATGCTGTCCTGATTGCTTTAGTCTATTGACCTTTAATTATATTGGATTCTGTATATATATAGCAGATGTCCTAAACACAAACTACACTGATGGCAATGGAGGGCAATGGGGTGGATATTAATTTCCCATCCCCATTTTCTTATAATAAATTTTTCCCACTCCCCATTCCCCATGGGTACCACCCTCCCCATTTCTTAATGGGTATGGATTTTCCCAACCCACTTTAATTTAATCCCCATTTTTATTTTTTATATTTAATGTTAACAACCACTTTTTTATTTATTTATTTTTAAGGTTCACAACAAAAACTAAATATACCTTCAATTTTTTTCCTTTCTTTTTTAATATATTTAATGTTAACATTTTTTTTTTTTTTTAAGGTTCACAACAAAAGTTAAATATACCTTCAATCTTTTTTCTTTCTTTTTTAATATATTTAATGTTAATAAATTTTATTTTTATTTTATTTTATTTTTTTTTTTTTTTTTTTAATAAAGGTTTTAGCTAAATATACCTTCAATCTTTTTTCTTTCTTTTTTAATATATTTAATGTTAATAACTTTTATTTTTATTTTATTTTATTTTTTTTAAGGTTCACAACAAAAGCTAAATATACATTCAATCTTATTTTATTTTATTTGGTTCAACAACAAAATCAAATACTAATTAATTAATTAATTAAAAAGTTTGTTTTATAATAATCAAATATATAATTTTGAGACAATCAAAAAGTTTGTTTGAAGAAAGTGTTATAAGACTCATATTAAATTGCATCAGGACATAAATAAGGAATTGTTAGCCACGGACAATTTAGACGTTAAACCATCTTTCTCTTAGCAAATTTGAACAATTCATTTTAATTTATCCAAAATCTAATTATACCTTTAACAAATCTCTCTCTCCCCTACATGTTATAAGAACCTGATTATAATGTTCTAAGAGCCTGTTTGAAGAAATAAAATGTGAAAGAACCTGTTTGAAGAAAATGTTATAAGACCCATATTAAATTGCATCAGGATATAAACAAGGAATTGTTTGTTGATTTCTTAGCCACGGACATTTTATACATTAAACCATCTTTCTCTTAGCAAATTTGAACCATTCATTTTAATTTATCCAAAATCTAATTATACTTTTAACAAATTTGAACCACTCATTTTAAGATATTTATGCCTTACCACACCCAATCCATCTTCCATCTTCTTCCTTTAGTCTTGCATGAATTTTGTTGTTTGTTACTTTTAAAAAACAAAAAATATTTTTTCAATTAAATTTTTACTAATTTCACAACACCATCACCACTATTCTCACTTTCACTGTCACACTACCATCACCATAGCCACTACTATTATCACGGTCGCCATCACCCCACCACTATGTAACAATTTCTACTTTCACCTTCGTTCCATCACCACCACCACCAAATATAAAAAAATATATTTTGAATTTTTTTTATAAAAAATATTTTTCATTAAAAAATATTTTCTATCTAAATAAATGAAGCATAACATTGGGAAACAAGCTGATTTCAGTTAAATCTGTTCATAACTAAGAAAAATTCTTTTAATTTAAAAAAAATTATTTAGTATGACTTTGTATCCCCTTTTTGTTTTTCTAGCAAATAAATCTATGTACCCATCATTTCTAACCAATCACAACTCATGCTTGTTTTGATTCTCTACAATTTCCTTATTTTCAAATACATTCATATATATATATATATATATATATGTTGTATAAATTGTGTGATAACATAAAACAAATAGATTCATACTCGTTAATTGAAATTTCAGAACAAGCAAACCATTTTAAAAATTACAATACATAACAAAATAAAATAACATAGAAAAGCAAACCGAAACCTACACTAGACAGTGTCTTTAATCTTTTTAAATAAATTTAAAAAATTCTAGATACGCATAAAATTTGACAAGAATAATGTGATAATATTAATTAATGTGTATTTGATTTTATTGTTGAGCCAAATAAAATAAAATAAAATAAGATTGAATGTATATTTAGCTTTAGTTGTGAATCTTTAAAAAAAAAGAAAAAAAATGGTTGTGAACCTTAAAAAAAAAAAAACAAAACAAAACAAAAGAAAAAAGATTGAATGTATATTTAACTTTGGTTGTGAATCTTAAAAATTAAAAAAAAATTGTTGTGAACCTTAAAAATAAAAAAAATAATAATAAAAAAAATTAGATGTATATTTAGGCCAAGTTTGGGAAGACTAAAAAAGTGCACTTTTTGTCTTTTTGGACTAAAAAATTGAGGTTGAAAATATGGATGTTTGGGTTAACTTTTTGACTTTTTATTGAAAAATGTATAATAAAAAATTGTAAAAATTGATTTGTAGGGATTTTTAGGGAAAAATTTGAATTGGGAGTTGTGCAGTCGTAATTGTTGACTTTTGATGAATAGTGTTAACTTTTTGACTTTTTTGGAAGTACCCAAACTTGGCCTAAGGATCTTAAAAAAAAAAATGGTTGTGAACCTGAAAAATAAATAAATAAAAGAAAAGGATTGAATATATATTTAGTTTTGGTTGTGAAACCCATCCTCTGTGGATATTTAAAAAATATCACTTACCCTACCCAATGGATAAGAAAAAAAGAGAAAAACCCATGTATTTGGGTTGGGTTACACTAGTATGACTGGGACCATTTAAACCTAAAAGCAACAAATTATGAAGAAAATTCAGTATGACCTGATGACTCCAATCCCCTGTTAGATGACCAACTGCCTTCTTAGCTAAGGAGTTGGCCGAGTTGTTGGCTTCCTGCCACACATGAACAATGTCACAAAGTCATTTGCTTCGAATTCTGTATTTTAATTGTAACGAACTGTAAACCAATAAAATTTGGAGATGCAGTTTTACTCCCCAATGTTTCCCTTTTTGGAAAATCCTTAATGATGACACCAAGTTGTTGCAATTTTGCAATGTTGTATGTGTGTATTCTTTTACTTATAATTTGTGCTGCACATTTGTTTTCAATCATGTTTGACCTCTGTAAAAGTTATTTGGGGTCTGTCTTACTCTTATGCATGAAGTTATTGATGTGATACTGTTTTCAGGTTTGGTTTAGGGGATGGTAATCATTATGCATTTCTTGCTGCAGGTGTATTTGGGTGAACAGTATGTAAACAATTCTACACTTTCTGATGTTACATTTTTAGTTGAAGGTGGAAAATTGATTCCTGCCACTTTCATGTATGCCCTTTTCTTTTCTTCAAGTAACTTTTATCTTTTGTAGCTTATTACACAGTGCTCTTTTGATCAGGCAAGCGATTCTACGCTCACAGGATTTGTCTGCTTGCTTCTTCTGATACGTTCCGTGCAATGTTTGATGGTGGTTACCGGGTGAGGATGGATTATTTTATTCCAGTTTTTTTGCTGATTTCATCCCAAGTCAGATGGCTTTGTAGTTTCTCCGAACTTTTCCCTGCTTTTTCTTAATGAAATATAAACAGTGTCAGGAAATCAATTGATATATACTTATCTCATAGCTTATTTGCCCTTGTGCATTCCTTCAAACTGCACAAATTTGATCTTAAAGCATTTACATGGCTTAGTGGATGATTGGCTAATTTGTATAAATCTTGAAAAATGCATAAGCAGGAAAGGGATGCCAAAGATGTAGAGATTCCAAATATCAGATGGGATGTTTTTGAATTGATGATGAGGTAAAAAAATTTCTATCCCCATTGTTTAGAGAGAGAGAATGTATCTTGAAACAGGATAAATGTACCTTCCTTTTGCTTGCAGATACATATACACAGGATCAGTGGATGTCCATTTAGATATTGCACAGGAGCTTCTCAGAGCAGCTGATCAGTATCTTTTGGAAGGTCTCAAACGTCTTTGTGAGTATGCCATTGCACAGGTGAGTCAATAAACAAGTTGACAATTGCTTAATTTAATCATAAATATCACGAACTGAATTGATTATTTTTATTTTTCTTTCTCCAGGACATTTCAGTTGAAAATGTTTTACTCATGTACGAGTTATCAGAGGCTTTTAATGCTACATCATTAAAGCATGCATGTATCCTGTTTATTTTGGAGAAGTTTGACAAGCTTAGTAATATGCCATGGTATGCTCTCTCTCTCTCATAGACATCACAATACACAAAATTCACATCCTAGTGAAGGATTGTTTAAAGGTGCATTGTCCAGAAACAGTAAATAGCCCTAAGGTAGTAATTCAGTTGTCCTTGGTGAGCATGAGCTCATATACTGAGAATGCTATGTGAAAATAATTGTTTCAATGCATTTGAGCCTCAATCCAATTGGTTATGATGCATAACTTCAAGGTTGAAAGGTTTGTGGTTCACTTTTATCCACGAGGTCTTTCGTGTTCTTAAGATTGCTTAAAAGTCAAATGGCATGAGCAATGATTGATGTAAAAATGTACACAATCAGTTTAAAAGGGATGTAAGGCAGTGTTTTAGTGATTCAATGGTCCTAGGTTTGAGTTCCTTTCACCACCTCAATATTTAATTTTTTATTTTCGATAAAAAAGTAAGGGACATGTGGCATAAAGAGAAGGTTTGGACACCAAGTCCAGTTTTCACTTAATATAATAGTATAGATAGTATAGATAATAAATCAAACTACTATTTTTGATTGTTTGAAGCTGTTCAAAACATTGCTTTCTTCTGCAAACAAATAGATAAGTTGGTGTGTCATAGTATGGAATTTTCCACCTTCAAAACATCCTCAACGAGTCAGTCTGAAGGCATCATATAAGATTGTTAGTGTCTATTGTTTATATATTACGAGTTTTCTGTTATAGCAACATCAATGGATGCAATGATTATTTTTCAGCATTTACTTCCCTAATTGATTATGATTTCTACACAAATTTTAATTTTTTATTTTGAATTGTTGTAAGGTTTCCTCTCCATATCAATCCCCTTTTCTCACACCATAAACTAAAAGTGGCACACCTAACTTGTTGATCTTGTGTGGTTAACTGATCAATATGGTAATGCAGGTACTCTGATCTTATTCAACGTGTTTTACCAGAGATGCACAATTACTTTGCAAGACTACTTACTAGGCATATCCAAGCTGACTTGCAGCAATAGATTGTTCTTCTCATTTCTGGTCATTGGTTCAATAGTAAGAGCACAAAATTGTACAGAAGTAAACATTAATTTTGTGATTGATGCAGAAATGGAAGAAGCAAGCCACCAATCCATCTTGATCGAGAGACATTTTGCAAAATCTGTTGATGGAAGTTTCAGATTTTGGCAGCAGTTATTCATCTTGAATAACTTGTATGTTTCACATTGATATCTTTGTGAGGTCCAAAGGAAGGTGGGGATAAACGAAATGATGAGGAAGCTTAGTCTTTGAAAGTTATTTTAGGTTGTGGTTATGACTTGCGAGTTTGTAACCCCACTTTCTATCAATGAAATGGCAGATTGAGCTGTTGTAAGTTTGCATTGCAAGCCCATTTTTTGGGTAAGTTACTTTGTAGTGACTAAAATTTAAATTAAGACGGGCTTGTCAAATCATTGCCCCTTTTGTATTTAGTAATTTTTTTTAATAAAAACATCATAAATATTTAATTAAGTACAGTACATTTAAAAAGTTAAAAATATTGATTAAATTATTTTAAAAATTCACTAAAAATAGAAATACAAAAAACTTAAAAACTCAAAATCAAATAGAACACTGATTTTATAACTAGTCATAATTTCACCGTATTTGTTTTTAAAAATTACGCGAAGTTCATTTTCAAAAGCTTGCATGTTTATTTGTTTAAATAAGTTTGATAAAATTATATGTTCATAATTATTGAATGAATTACTTTTTTTTGTTTAACAAATGTTTTTAGATTTCCAAATTGAGACTTGTGCTTTTCACGAAAGTGTAAATTTGGTTGGATTGCCCTAGAGATGCTTCCAAATTACTAATTTGTTTTCCAGACTCAACCCAAGATGTTAATGATAAACTTTTATTACCACGCCAAAGAAATGTAGTAAATCCAACAATTTCTGCCTTTGCTACCACCAAATCATGCAAGGAGTCATATTTGATAAATCTGCAAATCAAATTTCCTGGAACAATCACAAATTATCAATTTGCTACAGTTGAAGAACAAGGAACAGCTTATTTTGCGACGGTTTGATTCCATCACAAAAAGTCTGACTTTTAGGGGTGGTTTGGCATCATAGCAAATAAACAGCTTATTTATTTATCAAAAAAAAAGAACAAGGAACAAGGAACAAGAACTAAGGTAAACAGAGTCTTCATTTATAAGATCAAATATCTGAACAAACTGAATCTTACTAATACAGTAAATTATTTGCGGATAGTATACATGCCCTTCTCTGAAGAAAGACCTGTGCAGGGGTAACCAACTGAAAAGTTGGAAGCTTCGCTGACAAAAATGAAAACCAAAAACAATCTTACCAAGAAAATAGACGTAACAACATAGAAGCAGAGAAGGTAAAACAAACAAGCATTCTGGTTTTGAAATGATCATCCTTGCATGACTCTCACAATACGAATTCAATATCCATTTTCTAACTGGCATATGTCCCAAAATGAGAAACTTAAATATGATACATGAAAATTTGTTCCAATTCTTTTATTGGGCGATTGTGGAACTGCAGTCTTGGTTGGACCAGCTCTCCTTGATTCCACAGGCTAGGATTGGTCGTTCAATCTGGATCACTGCAGCTGTTTCTTTTTCCAACAGCGAACAGTACTTCCCAAAGGTTTGAATGGTTACATGAAGCTGGAAATCTAGACCAAACAAGAACTTCATCTCCAATCTATTCAACTCGGATGTGCTTACTCCTCCCACTCTTGCATAGTATGCGTTATTGAAGAATCTGAAAACCAGGTAGATTATATTCATGTTCGCACCATCAAAAAAAGACGGTGAAAAGATGAGAGGAATGATAAATACCATTTAACACAGCAATTCTTGTCTAATAAACAATTTTGGTTTCACATTGCAAAACATAATCAAAACAAATGTAGAGTTGGTTCTGGGAATTAATACTCACGCGTCATCAACAAATTTTGCTGCTACCATCACACTTGTGATTAGAAGCCGATGAACATTGAGAGAAGTGATATGAACATTCATCCGTTGAATAAATCTCTCCACATAAATGTGTGCAACAACAAAGCAGGATGGGCTGCAGCACGAGTACTTGAATATGCGATCGATATATTGTTGAATTCCTAGAGAAGGTGCCCTTGAACCGTGGAATATTGTAACAACATCTTTAATTTGTGCAGTCTCCAATAATATTTCATTTTTCTGAACTGATCTCTCGAGGAGTGAAGAAAGAAGTGATAGAACTCGTGGGATTCCGGGGTTCTCCTTGCCCACTTCTTGAAGCCCCAAAGAGAGGTACGTATCAGAGCCTACACTCTTAGTTTCAAGCGCCAAAGTTCCCATATCCAAGCTGTGGTGCAACCGAGTAAACATTAATAAGCTTTCAATGTCGAAAAACAGAAATGGCTCGAAACAACAAGAGAGGGCATTGCCACCAGGTAATAACATTAATTGCATTAGACGATTTGAATGGGAACTAAATAATGCATTATTTTGCACACGAAAACATGTTTTTTCCCTCAACCAACCAGAAAAAGGAGCTGCTCGTTTTAGATTTCGCATCAAACATTCAATCATTAGACCAGATTCATGATGTTTTAACCTTACCCAGAATTTCCACCAACTAGAATTCAGTTTCTTTCCTCTACATGTTATATTTGTAACTCAAAATTTGTAGAATTGATCAGAATTTTGGACTATCCCATCACAACCGAAGAAGGAATAACAGAATAATTGATGAAGACCGACAACAAATCAGAAAAGATTTTGATGTTATAACTACAAATCAAAGATAAAACAACTGCCCGAAGAGCTCAAAATGTATAGTACCAATTAAAGGGGTTGTTCACAAAAGAACAGAAAAGAAAGAAAAGAAAAACTTGTTAAAGTTTATTCTCTGTTACCCACTTGCACTCACTCACAAGTAAAGCCATTGGCTTCAAAGAATACTACAGAATTCAAACAGCACAAATGTTACAAATCGGCATAATAACAAACTCCTAAAAACCAACAAATCCCCCAAAAATGATATGTTATGTAGTATGTATAACCCAAACCCGCCAAAAAGGAAAAGATAAATGGGTATAATCCTAAATTAACACTCTTAATACAGGAAATCCTCTAAGTTCACATAGCATACAGGAAAGATTCAAAGTCCTGATTATCAAGAAAAAAAAATAGAAAAAGAAAACCCTCGATAATTAAAATATCATTTTAGACAGAACAAACAAACGGAAAATCCAAACTCATTGGATACAAACATGAAGCCCAAATCGATGAATGTTTTTACAGAAGAATGCAACCCAACCCATGTCAAGAAAACCCAAAGAAAGCAAGAAAATCAGAGAATGACTTACAGATACGTCGAGAGGAAGAGATCTACTTCCCCGATCCGTACTCTGTTTCTTCTACATGAGCGCCAGGCACGAAGATGATACTGTACAAGGGCAGAAGAGAGACAGAGAGATATAGAGGGAATGAGATTATCTAAGGAAGGTAATGAGTTGCGCTCTCTCTCTTCTCTCTCTCTCAGCCATATCTAAAAGCACTTTTGCTCAGACACAGATAGAGAGAGAGAGAAAGAGTTTGCTTTATTTATTGGGCAAATTACATATACACCCTTCCAGGTTTGGTTAAATTACAGATACTCCTAAGGTTTCGGAAATTACATCCCGCCCCCTGAGGTTTGTATTTTCATAATAATTTACCTCCTGAGGTTTATATTTCATAACAAATTACCCCCTAATTTCTTATGCAAATATAACATTCAGGGGGAATTCGTAATTTCTCAAACCTCAGGGGTATCTGTAATTTTGTCAAACCTGAAGGGGTGTATATGTAATTTGCCCTTATTTATTTCACAAGTATTCATTTTTTTCCTTTTTCTTCTCTCTCTCTCTAGTATGGTTGGTTGTCTATCAGTTCTCTCTCTCTCTAGTATGGTTGGTTGTCTATCAGGTCACTTCACAGGGAATCTCTCTCTCTCTCTCTCTCTCTCTTCCATTTTAATTTTAAATAAATTACACTAATTTGCTTGAAATTGAAACAAAATTACAACAAAATTTTAACAATTTTAGTATAATTGTATTTAAAAAATTTAATAAAATTAAATGAATTGAAATTATTATAAATATTACGAAGGCATAAAAATAAATAAAAAATATGTTAAAAACATGATAAAATTATTTTTTATTTAATTTAATTATATGTGGATTAAAACAATAAATCAATTTAATATTATTTTCCAAAACTACAAAATTTTATTTTATTTTATTTTTAAATTTTGTTCTGCTGAGATCCCCACCTCACATGTGTACACCCTCTGTGTATGTATAATGTATGTATTATTGTACGGAAGCGAGTGTCGGTGTCTTAGTTATATTTGTTTGTTGTGTATATAAGAAGTGGGCAAGATAAAAGAAAAGGAGCTTTGATCGAGACCCCTTTAAATTCCATTCCCATCACCCCCACACACATACACATACGTAGGGATTGGTGATTGGGTGAGTAAAAAAAAGAAAAATAAAATAAAAAATATGAACCAATCAAAAGTAAAGGGGGTTGTGGGGTGACTCTCAAGGGAGTTCGAATCTTTTTTCTTTTAATAACTTTTCTTTCAGATATGCTTCTCACCCCAGTGGGGGCTACCCCAGTCGCGCACCCAGTGACGTGCCAAGTTGGTTTTGGTTAAAAATAAATATTTTTTTTTCCCACCAATCACAATAAATCCCAGCACCCTCTGAAGCTTTATTCAAAAGTTATGTGGTGGTTTGATGGCAAATTTATGTGATGTTATAATTTAATTTTTATTTGTTAAATTAATAGAATTTAATTTTTTTTATTTGAGGCACATGTAAAAGGTAAAATAATTGAATAATATAAAATATTTTTTTATTAAGTTTAATATATTTTTATTGAAATTAATAATTTTTTAATATTTTCATATACTTTAAAGATATTTTTTAGGAACAACGGCAGAAAAATGGTAAATATAAAATAATTACAAAGTGATGAAATTACAAAATTTACTTGTACAATTTAATACATAAATTGTTTGTATTTCTATCACTTTATAATTATTTTAGGGCGAATTACACTAACTGTGCTATAGATTGGGGTTTATATCACTTTGATTTTTGACTTTTTAATTGTGACACATTTAATCATGAATTTTAAATCTTATTTCAAATAAGGACAATTAAAGATACCATTACTCAATTCCATGGTCGAAATCGTCAATTTGATAAAATATAAACTAATTTAACAAAAATAAATGTCAATTTTTTTTTGAATTTTTAAAAATTAAATTTATCTACCAAAGATAAAATTATGTATAATTGTTAAATCTTTTATGCATTTATTTATTTTACAAAATAAATTTTTATTATGTGTTTAGATGATAATCATGTAATGTGTTGTTATTAGGCTTTTAATATGTAATTAATATATTTAATATATAAAATATTTTTAGTTTTAGATTTTTTGATTTAATGGATTGGTTTAATAATGATATCAAAATTATCATTATATTTGACTTTTGAAAAAATAGAAACTAATTTCATAAAAATAAAAACAATCACCCATTACAAGATTATCATCCAAACACATAATAAAAATTAATTTGGTAAAAATATAAATAAATAATGTGTAAAAAATTTATTAATTTTATATGATTTTATTTTTGGTAGAAAAAAATATTTTTTAACATTTTTTTTCGTCAAATTAAATTGAAAAGTCACTTCTTAAATTAAAAAATCAATATATTCTTTCTAATTTTGTACATATATTTTTACAAAAAATTAAAAAAATCAATTTTAAAACCAACCCAAAACAATGCCTCCAAGACCATAGCTTTTAATTGTCCAGCTATGATGATTAGGGGTGAGTAGCAGATATATCGATCCGTCAAAACTGACCAAACTGAACCGATCCGTCACATTTTGGACGGATGCGTGATGACAAGCGGACAGTTGCGGATTGATTTTCTCCAATCCGCCAATCTGGCAGACGGATGGCGGATTTGAGATTCTTTTGGCCGCAACTGAATCGCTAAACCGCGAGCACCCTTAGTAATTTATAAGACTTTATGTTTTCAGTTTGTTTAAATATTTTGTTTATGTTTTCAATTAAAAAAAAGTTTAAATATTCTGTTGAAATTTTTTTTCCAACTTGAATATCTTTTTTGAATTGAAAAAAATATATGTATTATTTATCTATATTTTTTGGATTTTAAATCTATCTCTAAAAATAATAAATAGACAATATGATATATGCTGGTTGGTTTTTATTTTTAAAAACAGATATAGATGTAACAATACAGAGATATACAATCTCTACTACTGCTCTGTTCATAGTTTTGGTGGTTTGAATTGTTTTTATATTTTAAGAACAACAGATTGTAATACTTTATGTGGATGAGGCATGCTGTGATTGTAGTATGTGGATGAGACATGCAGTGATTGTAATATTTTTTTAAGTCATTGAATGTAATACTTTCTTATTCTTTTTTTGAGGAAGTGCACAAGTTGAATTATGTTGAAAATTTATAAAATTTTAAACCACCAAACCGATTCGCATCCATCCGCCAAATCGTCAATCCGCTCAATTCACATCTGCCGGATTGGCGGACGGATGCGGATTAATTTTCTCTAATCCGCCAATCTGGCGGACAGATGGAGAATTGGAGGTTCCGTGGCCGTAACCGATCCGCGCCCATCCCTAATGATGATCAAAGAAGGGTATGGGTGTCCCTCCTCTCCTTCATCTCTTCCTTTTACTTCTTATTTGTTGTTATTGGATTCACTTTTAGGCATAACTTCAATTATTTGAATCGTTTATATTTTAAAATTTGTTGGATATATCATATTTGTAAAAAATTAAGTTGATCAGATATCAAAAAGTAAGTGTTCAGAAAACTATTTATTAAATTTTCCAAAAAAATGGTTTGTAATTCGATGGTTCGAACACGTAGGGTGTGTTTGGTTTAGTTTTGATAGATAAATTTTCAAAAAAAAATTGAGGAAAGAGTTTAGAATTTTTTTTAGTTTATTTGGTTGTATATTTTGAAAATAGTTTTGAAATATGAGAGTTTTGGATGATTTGATATTTTGTTGTAGTTGAGTATTGTGTGTGAGATAAAAAATAATTGAGAATAAGAGAAGAGAGAGAAAAAATGATTGATTGATGTGTCGGAGAGAGAAATTGATTTTGAATTTTTTTTTTTCCTTCTAAAATCACTAAACTGAACAACATTCTAAATTTTTTTTCCAAAATTTGTTTATCAAAAATAAACCAAACAAAGTAGTAGTTTCTGATATTTGATTAACTTGACTTTTTTATAAATATGATATATTTAATAAATCTTAAAATATAAATTATTCGAATTATTAAAATTAAATAAAAAAAAAAAATATTTGAGAGCCACAATTTTTGTGGTCACAATGGCTTAAAACTGTCAAAACGACATCATTTTAGGTGCAAAACATGCCAAAACGATATCATTTTAATAATTTTGAATCATTATAACCAGAAAAATTGTGACATTCTATCATTATTGATAAAAAAAATGAGCACTATAATTTAACAAGAATTAAAGAGAGATGAAAGAGAAAATCTTGATTCATGCAACCCCATCACGTCACCGATTTTTTAGATGGGCCTGTGACGTCCGCATCAATGATTAGTGGCTGCACATTAAACGCTATGTTTGGGAGGTTAGTGAATCATTAAAAAGAAAAAAGAAAAAAAAGAAAAAAAAGAAGTTAATAAGTTAAATATTATATTTAAATTATAATTATTTTTTTTTCCATAAAATTAAAAAATTAAAAAATTCATCCCAAAAGTTAGTCCCGGGTTAAAATAGTTAAAAAAATTAAAAAGATAAAAAAATCAATTCACATCTTAAACAAAGGCAAAAAAGAGAAGACTTAGGGCCCGTTTGTTTTTAGAGGTAGAATTGAAGGTATTCGTAGTGAGGGGATTAATAGTGAAGGGATTAAGTAAAATTGTATTTGTTTGGATGCTAGTTGTTGGTATAAAGATTGTTAAATTATTTTTATATAAAATAAATATGAAATAATAAAAAATTATAAAAACATTAAACATAATATTCAAAAAAAAAATGTCTAACATGTAAAGAATATAAAATAAAATAAAACAAAACAAATAAAACTATAATTTTTACTTAACAAAAAATATAAAATATTAAATATTAATATTTTTTAAAAAATACCCAACATGTAAAAAATAAAAATAAAAATGGTTTAGCGGACTATTTTCTAATATCAAGTCCTAAACCTCCATCAAAATCCCCTCGCCAAGGCCCATCCTAATCGGGAGGGGATAATGAATCTCCTCTCCATCTTCCAAAACAAACAAATATTAATGAATCTTACCCCATCTCAATTTCAATTCCTCATCTATCTCCCAAAACAAACGAGACCTTATTTCAATAGCCTACGAATATGCTCCACTTAATGCAAGGGTGTAGTGCAGTCTACTTGCAAAAAGGTTTTGAGGTGTAAATCTTAGGTCGTATTTGTCAATTATTGTAGAGGGTCAGAAATTAAACCCCAAACTAAGTATGGGCCTAAGCACTGAGGTTGCCTCAAAGAGGCGATTGAGAATAAAAAAGAAGCATGGGCCAAAGCCCAAGAGAAGTGGCCAACAGTAGGCCAAAGCAGGTCCGACCCGTCAGGGCTCCAAATGGACTCTACGAAGAAAAATGGTCAAGTCAAGTTGTAGAGGGAACACCTGTAGCGATGAAGTTGCGGAGGGAACATGTGCAGCGGGGAAGTTGCTGAGGCACGCCGCCATTCCTAATATCTTCGGTTCCGCCGCCATCTGAAGTAGCTGAGAGAAAGAGAAAGCCGACACAACTAAGTTGCAGAGGCAACACTTGCAACGGCCAAGTTACGGAGATCTAGTTGCGGAGGCACTTTGTCTCAGCGCCGCTATTCCAAGTATCTTCGGTACCGCCGCCATTCCAAGTAATGTCGGTACCACAACCATCTGGAGTTGCTGAGGAAAGGAGAAAACCGAAGCAACTAAGTTGCAGAGGCATTTTGCCGGAGCCGCCATCTCTAATATCTTTGATCTTGCTACCTGAACTTGTCGCGAGAAATGACAATGCAACAACTACTACCGCAACAACTAAGTTGCAGAAGGGATACCCTGCCAAGGTGATAACATCCTTTGAGAGAGGCTTCCCTCTGCAACTAGAGACTAATGCTTGGTGCTGATAGCAGGCCCCAAGGCATTACTAGCTTAGGGCTGATAGCAAGCCCCCTTCTCTCTCTCAAAGTTCATTTAACTTGGTGCTGATAGCAGGCCCCAAGACTTACTGGTTGGAGCTGATAGCAAGCCTAGAGATATCAGTTTACTGCGGCAATCTCGCAAAGATGGGAGCAGGGTAGCTTAAACATAAGGGACTCCCTTTCCATTATCCAAGTCATAGACCTACCTTAGTCGCACAGGTAGGACTAAGGAAGCCCCCATGGGCTTGATACTAAGGCACAGCATGTCTGATAGCAAGCTTGGTTGTGGCCTTCGCTCTGAGAAGTTGGGGAGTTTGTGGTTAGGTGGCTAAGGGTGGAGGCTTCGCTGAGGTGAGCACGAACATAGTCAATAGCAGGCTAATGAAGTCCTGAGAATACATGTACTGCCCAACTAGAACTAAGAAGGCAAGTGCAACGACAAGGTTTATCGCTGTAAGTGCACTTGTTGAGGTTCAAGCTGAGAAGGCAAGGGCAAAGCCAAAACTCTCGTCGCAACTACATTTGTTGAGGCCCGAAAGGCTAGTTGCAGAGGCAAATAAATATTACACAGTACATGCAAAGGGACACGTGGCACCTTCAGCTTGGTGGCTCAAGGTAGAATATTCCATGTGATCCTCTAGGACACATGTCTTTTCTCTATTTGGCCACTTGGTGTCCTCTTGGCACTAAGGAAAAGCCTATAAATAGGAACCATTTTCCAAGGTTCAAGAAGGAGGAATTTTAGGGATTTTAGAGAGATGCTGCCCATTTTGGCACTGCCATACACTTCTTCTTGAGCCACTTGCTTCACCCTCACCTAGCTACACACTCTCCAACTCCCAAATAGTTGCTGTTACTCATTCTTCAGCCACTTTCACCATTATTGGACCATTAGCATAGTTTTGCCTCTCTAATCACCTTTCTAACCTAGAACCCTCTAATCACCTTTCTAACCATTAGAACCCCCTGAATGCATGCAAAATAGGCCCAAACCCCAATAGGAGGTACTTGCTGAGGTCAACCTCAATGACTTGTCTGAGCAGAACAAGCCGGTGTTTATCAATGATATAATGGCTCCAATAGTTAAGGCAGAACTGATAACACTACTAAAGTAATACAGTGATGTCTTTGCTTGGACATATGACGAGATGCTTGGCCTTGACCCATCCCTTGTACTTATCATCTGGATACTTTTCCCAACTCTAAACTAATCAAACAACATGCTCGGAAGTACCACAATGATCTTGAAGCAAAGATTAAGGAAGAAGTAAAACAGTTGCAGAGGCTAAGTTCATTGAGCCTATCCAGTACCCAACTTGGCTAGCGAATATTGTGCCTGTGCAGAAGAAGAACAGCCAGATCAGGGTCTACGTAGACTTTCGCGACCTGAATAAGGCCTGCCCGAAAGATGAGTTTCCATTGCCCCATGTTGACACACTTGTTGATTCTACCGCAGGCCATCAGATGTTCTCCTTCATGGATAAGTTTAGTGGTTATAACCAGATCAAAATGGCACCAAAAGATGCAGACAAAACGGCTTTCAGAACGCCCTTGGGAAATTTTGTTTATATGGTGATGCCTTTTGGTTTGAAAAATGTTGAGGCAACCTACCAACGGGCTATGACTGCAGTATTCCACGACATGTTACATCATGCAGTTGAAGTATATGTAGATGATCTGGTGGTCAGGTCTACTAAGGTAAACCGCCACCTTTGCGACTTAGAAATTTTTTTTCAGTGTTATTGTAAATTCTGCCTCAAGATGAACCCTCTCAAGTGTGCCTTTGGAGTTACCGCCGACAAGTTCCTTGGCTTTCTTGTACACCAGCGAGGGATCGAAGTAAATGGGGATAAGATCAAGTCAATCATGGAGATGCCACCGCCACACTCTCAAAAAGCCTTGAAGAAATTCCTAGGCAAAGTGTCTTACCACAGGAGGTTTATTCCAGTCCTTGCTGAGATAACCTTTTCCTTTGGGACATTGCTGGAAGGGAATCACAAGTTTGAATGGTTGTAAGAACACTAACAGACATTTGATATGGTAAAGAAAACACTTACCTCCCCACTTACAATGATTGCCCCACAGCCCGAAAAGCCTCTGCTACTGTACCTGACCTCTACTCCTCGTTCTATTGGAGCCCTACTTATTCAAAATATAGATGGCATTGAGAAGCTAGTCTATTACATTAGTTGCAAAGTCAATGGTGCTGAGTTGCGATATACTCCAATTGAGAGGCATTGTTTAGCTTTAATTTTCACAGCACAGCAGTTGCGCCACTAATTTTTGGCACACCCGATCTAGGTTGTGACCCGAAATGATCCAGTCCACTACTTGCTGAGCAAGCCCGTTCTGACTGGAAGAATGGCAAGATGGTTCTTGGCTCTAGCAGAATATGATATCACTTGTGTTACTCCCAAGGCTATTAAGAGCCAAGCAGTTGCAGACTTACTGGCCCAGTTCCCATCTGGTGAACATGAACCTGCAGAGATGCCTCTACCAGGTGAGGTCCATGTCTCAGCAGCTGCAATTGAGACTTATTGGGACTTAAAGTTTGATGGAGCTTCCGGAGTTGGGAAATGTGGAGCTAGCGTAACACTAACCAGTCAAGAAGGAGAGAAGTTTCATCTATTACATAAGCTTGACTTTGAGTGTTCAAACAACAAGGTAGAATACGAGGCGCTGATGCTGGGTCTAATAACTTCCCGAAAGAAGGGCTTCCGCAAGTTGAAAATTTGGGGCGACTCCAAGTTAGTTGTCAAGCAAACGATGTGTGATTTCGCCTTGAAGGAGCCTCTGTTAGCCCCATACCGCACTATAGTTCAAAAGTTGCTCACGCAGTTTGATGATATCCAAATCCAGTATACCCCTCGAACATATAACCGTTTCCCCGATGCCTTGGCTACACTAGGGGCAAAGATGGAGATACCAGATGATAGTATAGCCATCGTCATCGAGAAAAGAACAACACCAGCAGTGCTAGTCGAAGAACATACAGAGCAAAATGCTAAGGGATGGAAAACAGATATAATCCAGCAGTTAAAAACAGGCCAAGGAACAATCAGACCAGCAGAACTTGCATCATTCCTCCTTCTCAAGAGGAGAGTTGTACTTTCGCAGTCCCAACAACTTACTGGCAAGAAGCGTCGGTAGACAAGAAGCAACTTACAGACTTAAGCAGATCCATGCTAAGTCCTGTGGAGATAGAGCTATCAGTCTATACCGATGAATACAGATGCAAGGGTATTACTGGCCAGAGATGGAAAAGGAAAGTACTGAGTTGCAGAGGCAATGTACAAAGTGTCAGTCCCATCCTAAGGAAGAGGAAGCCCACTTCTTGAGCAATGAAGAATGGAGGCAGCCATATATCGACTACCTTGGAAATGGCACACTACCTGAGAACAAAGCCGGTGTAATTAGAGTTAAGAGGTGAGCTCTCTACTTCTTCCTTAACTAAGGCAAATTGTGCCGAAGAAGCTTCTAAGGGGAACCTTTGGCGTATTTATCAAAAGATGAGGCAAATAAGGTGCTGAGAGAAGCCCATAAGACTAAACACCAAGGAGGGCAGCAATTATACGGACATCTCATTCACCTCGGCTACTACTGGCTGACAATGGAAGAAGATGCTAAAAACTTTGTGAGGAGATGTCAATCCTGCCAGAAATTTGGGAACTTGATACATGCACTGGTAGTTGAACTACATAACATCAAGACTCCTTATCTGTTCCATACTTGGGCATTTGACCTGGTAGGTCCTATAGCACAACAATCCAAAGGCTACAGATGGATACTTGCAGCAACTGAAGTTAGCACCAAATGGGTAGAGGCTATACCATTGAGGAAGGCAGATGGGGCAGGAGTAGCTAACTTCGTCAGAGAGAACATAATCTGTAGGTTTGGCATACCCAAAGTGATGTTGTCTGATAATGGAACTCCTTTTGTAAATCGCCATGTTGGAAGACTGCTGGATGCCTACCAGATCAAACACCACAAGTCTAGTCCATACTACCCCCAAGGGAACGGACAAGCTGAGGCGACCAACAAAACCCTCATCCGGATACTGAGTAAAATGATGGATGAAGCAGGGGGCACATGGTCTGAACAACTCCCCGTAGTGCTCTGGGCATATAGAACGTCAAAGAGAAAGCCAACTCAGGCAGCCCCATTTTCCCTAGTGTATGGGTTCGAAACTATGTTACTAGTTGAGTTGGTAGTACCCTTAGTAAGAATGGCTATGTCAGTACACTTAGTTCCAGACAGCAGGAAGAATGACATAGAAGCAACTGAAAAAAGAAGAGATCGGGCCTCACGGGTAATGGAAAAGTATCATCAATCCATAGCCCATGCCTACAATCAATCTGTTCAACACAGAATGTTCAAGGAAGGGGACTTAATATGGAAAACAGTGGATGCAATCATGCAGGGGCAACCAATTCCCAAATTCTCACCCAGATGGGAAGGCCCCTACAAAGTTGCTGAGGCAAGTAGCAGCGGGTACTACAAGTTGACAAGAGTAGATGATGGATATAGAACTGGCCCTGTCAACACCAAGTATGTCAAAGAATATTTTCCTTAGTTTCTTTTGTTCAGGAAAAAGAGTTGTAAGTTTCTTTGTTAATGATTCCAAAACAAAGTGTAAAGAAAGTCTTATACACTTAGTAAACCTTTTGCTCTCATATACACTTAGCCTGAGGAAAGTTTTCCATACTTAGTGAAATTTTACACTTGTACAAGCTTAGTCATGATGAAGTTTTGTTCATTGCAAGAGTTTTGCTTATCTTTAAAAGTTATGTAAAAGTAATGTAACAAAAGCGATGAAATGAAACCCAAAAGTACTACCAAACGTCCATGCTTTCCATTAAAGTCAAACTTCCAGAACATGGTTACAATGTTTGAAAAAAAGTTATGGCAGAGAAGGAAAAAAGAAAAAGGCGTACCAAGCGCGATGAAACAACAAAATAAAGAAGAGGAAATGGAAGAAATCATAACAAAGTCACAGAGTTACATCAAATCAAATCAAACCCTTCAAAAGGGAGTCTATCCGAGTCACATGTCGAGGCAACTGGGCAGCCAATGCAAAGTCCTTCTCTTTGAACCGAGCTAGGTTCTGCCGGTGCTGCTCCAAGGCACCCTCATACTTCTTGATAGTCTCCTCCAAGGACGCAATCATCGCCACATTGTTGGCATGCTCAAGGAAACCATCAGCCGTCTAAAGCCTGCCCTCATCCATGATAGGTTCAAACCATTCCTCTTAAAGTCACTCAGATTGGCCTCGGCACTCTCCACGAACTTACTAGGAGTCGTCAGGATTTGCTTGGTAGCAAGGTCACAAATAAAGCCAGCAAGTGACTCCAGCAGCGCCATCTGCATTATAGATATAGGAACATTAAAGGCAGTAAAGGTGTCCGGATGCAGTGCTTGGATATGAGCAAGAGTGGAAGCAGCTTCGGAAGAGACTCAGTAACTTATGAAGGAAACTTTCTCTGAGGACTGGGGGAACTCTCTCACACCACCGCCAGCTTCAATCACTAGAGACTGATGGAGCGACCAAAGGGCTAAGGGCGGCGCATTTCTCCTGAAGATGATTGCCCAACAACATTAGAGTGAGTAGATGCTGGTTGGTGACCGGGTGAACTGGCCTCATGAGAAAGGCCAAAACTGCCTGCACCATCGTGTCGCTCCGAAAAGAGGTCGTCCATCTGATAATCTCCAACATTCAGATCTGGAACAGCAGTGGTATCCATCCCAGTATAAAAATCTCGGGACACTCCATGGTCAGTTGGCACTTCTGGGAAGTGAGTGGGGACAAAAGATCTTCTTTCTAAAGAGATTCTATTCGGAACTATTATATGTCTAAGATCTAATATTGAAATAATTTCAAGAGGTTTTCCCTGACTTTGTCCGTGTCAACAAAGAATTTGAAATACCTTGACTTTTTTAGAACAGGTCTGAGTCAAATAGCAATGACTCGAAGAACTTTTTTTTACACTATTTCAGAAACCCAAGGACTCAATTGTATGGATGTGTAAAATACAAGATTTCCAATCCTAGCAGGAAAATGAGGGAAATGGATACTCAATTTAAAGTGAGTAAATAGAATTCCATACTCGATCTCATAGAGACGTATAGAATTCTGTGGAAAGTCGTATTCGATGAAAGTCGTATGTATGGCTTGGAGGGAGGCCTTTCATATCTTTCGAGATCCACTCTACAATATTGGGTAAAAAAGCCAAAATAAGTGATTTTAGCCCTTATAAAAAGAAAACAAATTCTTGAACCTTACAAGTCTGCCAGTTGTTCAGAGGTTACCGAAGCAACTGGGTTAGAGGCCCTAGCGGCAGTAATAACAGTGTGGGTGGCTAAGGTGACAACTACCTCTGTAAGTTGATCCAAATTTAGAGGGCCACAACAGGAATAGTGGCAGCAGCCGCTACACCTGCACTCCCCTCAGCTACTTGAACGTTTGGAAGTGGAGTCTGCTGAATTAACGGAGACTCGGTAGATTGGGAGGAACCGCTAGATACAACTCCGAGGGGAAGTGGTGCAACTTCCAGCGGCTCTATCATGCCGCGATCTTTCCTAGGGGTCTTAGGTACAAAATCATCTCCACCAATAGAGGAACGGCCGGAGTGCACAGAGTTAGAAGGGTGTGAAGGCTCTAAACCCTCAGCAGGTGTATCACCCGCTACAACTTCCACAGCAGGGGGAACTTGTGCATTGCCTGCAGTCTCCACAACTGGCTTAGCCTCGACAACTGGCTAGGCCTCAGTAGTCGGTTCAGCTCTCACACTTGGTTCATCTTCAACATCTGGAAGAACTGTCCTTCGAGTCCTGAATCTTGTGACCCTAGTAGCAATGGGAAGGTTGTCGTCGTTGTCTGAGTCTGAAGAAATGCCAATGGTAGCAGAAAAACCTCCTGGACCAGAGGGTAGTGTGATCGATGGGCCCTAAAAAGAAGAAGAAGATCATGCGGTTATTAAAGTAAATATAAGAAGTCTAAGGAAGTAGTACAAAATATTTTCTAAGTATGGATATCCTTCGGAGTCTCTTCCTACTTGGTGAGGCATGTGCCTCTGTAATTGGTGCCGCTGTCGCTTGGACTGCCCTCAGTCAGGAGCGGGTCATGCGTACTATTGTGCCGACTTGGGGAGGAGCAATCTGCAAGGGTTAAACAGACATTGCCCCAGACGGGTGAGGCTCCTCCACGACAAGTTGAGATAGAAGCTTGAAACGGCAAAATATGTTGGTCTATTTCCCTCGGCCAGAGGGCAGATGAAGAGACAAGTCGGGCTATGGGATGGGCTTTATCGCAGGAATGACGGGAGCACTGTCATAAAAATTGAATAAAGAATTAAGGTTGCGGTACCAGAACAGTCTGTGGCTGGAAGTAAAGGTGCCCTCTCTCCCAAGTGAAAGAAGCCCCATGAAGCCTAAGCCCTCCACAAGTAGAACAGTATAGCCACGGGAAAACCACTGAAAGCTCCGGTGGAAATCGATTTGAGGCTGAGGGAAATGTGGGATACCCTGGTCCATTCCGAACTGTCTAAGGATCCTGTCCGGCCGATAGACGATGCTGGACATGCCTTCTTCATTCCATACGGGCAAAAATCCTGGGCGTATCATAGCAACAATAAGGAGGGAGTTGGCTTGGACATTGTCGAGAAAAAAATCAACATGGCGGGCCTCTGTAAAATAAAATGGAACCACAGAAATGCTTGGGAGATGTTGAGTGAAGGGGCAGAACATGCACTCCTCCATGCTGTCGACATAGTCTGAAAAGGGTCTGTTAGTGCCAAGGCCAGACCACTGAGAGATGCGAGAGGGAGATTGATGCACTTGCCTCGTGATAGGTCGGCCCTCTGCATCAAGGACTTTATCAGTGAAGAAGGGCTCATGTTCCTTAGGGATGGGGCCCATAGCAGGAAATCTCTCATAAAAAAAGGCATTCAGGAACTAAGGATGTACAAAGCTCCACACATCATAGCGGCCCATGGATCTCTCCATGTCCAAATGGATGAGATCAAGATGGAAATATAAGTTACCTAGAAATAGAGAAGCCAGAGGAATTTGACTACCGCTGCAAAGCTTGACAGCCAAAGGAAACACCAAGGGGTTAATGCTTTCGGCAGGGTTACTAGGAAGAACAAAGAAGG